TGACTCAGGTCAGTCTCTGCCTGGAAAATCGATTTGCAGCAATTGCCACACCCCTCAAACGTAAGCTCCACAGGCCTCTCTAGTGTACTTGGTGGAACTGGTGCGGAGGCGCCGGGTGCTTCATGTAAGAAATCAACACACTGAAATCAAGCAAAGTGGTTAGCCGTCTGGAGTTGCTGAACTCAGCTCACCCAGACTAACGTTCGAGCTACACACTCGGCACCACGAGGTGGTTCGGCGCGCCGACAGGCATATCACTTGATATTCCATCGCATCTGGAAACATGCTTAGAGACCGTAGTCTTCCTGTCCGAACAATACAACAAAGGGACAGTGAATCTATGAGAAGATGCAAGATAGTGACGAACCACAAGACAAGGTTGTGTGGTACTTGCAGGGTTCGATGCATATGAAATCAGCCAAATGTTCAACCGCAGACTTAAGGCTGATTATACCCTTGTTTGGACCACAATACTAGGTTCTTATGACTTCCACGATCATCTCATACAAATACTGTGTAGCTCTTCAACCAGAACGGGACGTCTCGAAAGAATCCTATAATAAAATAATGGCTCTGATGAGAAGCAGACATTAAATGTATGTCGCTTCCTGTCCTTCAGGCCTGCAGAAAACATATGATAGTTGTGGCTTTTACACTACTGGTAAGGCACAAGTAGTGCGCATAGAAATAGCTCAAGTGATCCTGTCAGCCGAATTACTGACAGCAGTCGACCACATAGACGGTTCCTTTGTCAAATCTTATGATTCAAGCAAGATTTTATAGAATAAAAATAGGAAGACGTTTCTTGCTGTGACATGTTCAATGCCTCCAATGCAACAAAACAGTGTTTAATTGAAGGTTATCTTCGCAACTCCTTGAACGTTCCGTTTACGGGTCGACGTTTTCCAAATGACTCACAAAATACTGTCCAACAGACTCAGCACACAGGAAGAACTAGAGCCAGCTTAACGTATTTACTAAAAGATGTACTATCCTTGGAATATCAATGAAAAATTTCCGGCAGCATGAGGAGCATTCCAAATTGAGTGGAAAAGGGATTTCTCCTTATCTTCAGCTAAAGCTGCGCTCAAGAGTACGCTCTCGTTTACGGCATACCGTCATCACGGACAGAAGTAGGTCAGTAGTGGAAACTGGTAACAGACTGCCACACAATCATGGGGAAAAGGGGTCTAGCAAAAATGGCAAAATTTGGGACTCCTTGCAAGAGGCGAGAACCGATTTCCAAAACAACTGAAATACACATTCGGGAGTCATGTTGGAACACGAGGCAATCAGGAGGGTTGATACAACGTTCTTTGCAAACCACACCAGACACAATTCCAGCGCACAACGATAGATAAACTTTAGCTAGGCAATTTGACTAGGAACTGACGGCATGAACGCCACTGGGGTCGGTTATGTGCCATGTCCAGTATTGTTTCCAAACATACATATGGGGAATCAAGACCCCACACACCCACGAAAGCGTACAGAACGCACGGCCCTAAGCTTAGAAGTAACCATTTTCATTTCAAGTTGCCACATTATGAACAGTACTTTGCGAACGCTTAGCTGGGTGGAAAACAAGATATTCTCTGGTAGATGGTGGTCAAAAGAAAGTGATACATGGCCCAACCAGACGAGCCTTTTCTGCTGATCGGGCGAACCTAACTGACTACTTGACATGGAGCGTTTCAGTACGCACATGCTGCAGCCAGTTGATGCTTGCTATACTACGGAGATATCGGCAATTTAATAACCAAAGTTGCTCCAGGTCTTCAGATCAGACCGGTGAAATTTCACACCTCTAGAGTAAAACGGCTCTCATGGTTGATTTGTAGGCACGCCCCTTTAGCCTCAGCGATATTCGTTTCTGACACCAAAGGTGGAGCAGGTTGGAAAATATCACTCGTGTCTTGATGGTGCACGTAATGACCTTATCCGTCACAGTACAGCTACGAATTATGGAGCTGTAAAAAAGGAAACCTGTCAAACCAAGGCACCTCAGTCTGAAGTTCCAAGGGGACACCTGACTGTGGAATTTAGGTGCAAACTGCATACCGCACCCAGTATAGATTTAAGGTTTGTTTGCACGCATTGTCATCGAATAACGGAACAACTTCATCCGCATGCTCCGAACATACCAATTTTTCTCCAGATGTCGATTCGACATCCAGATTCGCAGTCCCTGAGAGTATAATACATGATGGTGTCACCGATGGACCCTTTAGGTGGTTGGTCCCAAATTGTTGGAACGCACTACTGTTCCCAAATTCGTTTAAACAAACTAGTCAACGTAAAAGACAAAAGCCCACCACTATCTTTGAATAACGCTGGTATGAGATCATCCGGCGCTCTGGCCCAATAACGGTTCGAGGTAGAAAAGCATATTACTACTACAGAAGTAAAGTGAATACTTAAGCTCACAGACCACGATCCGGGTCGAACGGGTGGAATGAAAGACGTGGGTACAGGGACGAACAGCTAACTAATCATTGGTCAAGAAGTAAAGTGAATACTTAAGCTCACAGACCACGATCCGGGTCGAACGGGTGGAACGAAAGACGTGGGTACAGGGACGAACAGCTAACTAATCCATTGGTCAAGACTCTTGTTCTTGTACGTTAAACTTTCAATATTATCCTTCACGACTTCACTAACACCAGGTTTTTTCGGCCCTGTTTTAAGTATCAAGTGAAAAGCTCTCCAGACATTCTCAGCTGTGCTATATTCCTTCGTGTCCTGAACCCTCCAGTGTCTTTACCCTCCGATCCCACCAGGATTTTCTATGCGCCCGCAGACTACGCTCGAGCTGATATCTAATAACCCCTGTGAATGAGTTACGCTCAGCGCTCAAATGGCTGGAAGAAATCGAGAGGGAAATGACCGTTACGAATTTTAGCGCTTGTTTGATGGGCCTTACGAAACACCGCATACCGAGCCTAATTTCATGTAAATGAAGGAGCCTCTCCCGTCCTAGTAATGACTGGTTTCTTCTGAAGATGAAGGTTTCAAAGCTTTCGTAGGCTAGTTTGATAAGATTGTATAATCCATGGGTCAGACAGCAGTTCGATAGATAAACGAGGGATTTGTTTGTTAGATCTCCCAAGAAAGCTCACCGACGATTTACACCGGACCAATGTATGATCTGAACCGACATGTGTGGTCCAGAAATATCGGCAGTCATGAATAGAGCCTCGTCACCGGGGGCTAACGGTTGTGTGAACAATCTAACTCGATGGTTACTTTTCTGTTGGGGAGCGCCAGGTTTCGCAACAGTACCAATCGCGTCTGAATCCAGTACTACTGGAATGATTAGTGATGAGACCATCACCAGTATCAGAACTCCTTGAGTCCGAAAACAACGGGCCACCAATTCGAGCCGCTGGGGAAATATCCAAACTCATCATTGTGGATAGGGGATAGAACATTTCTCAATGAAAAACATGTTCCATCGAACCAGGGATACAGTTGGCTTATGCATGTGGATAAACTGTAGATAAATAACGAATTTCGGCCAGTGTGTGTCCTTATGTAACTTGACAAACGAACAGCGCATAGGCGGTTATTCACGGGGATCTTGTCAAGTGAAGAGGCCTCAGTGCGGGAGCTGAGACCTATATCATCGCCCGTGTAAGGCATAGTGACAGATCACCCGTCTAGATGACGACGGTGAATATAAGCTTGATTGTCGTACCATTTCTTGTATCTGAGTTTCGGAAAAGTAGCAGATACCTATCGATGAGATGTCAATAGTGCGTGTCAGGGCAGCTTGTTGGCCGGTTCACTTCAGAGTTCGCCAGTAGAAGTCAAGATAGACATAGAGGAATGATGTCTACTAGACGGACGTGAAGCTACAGACGTAGGCCGTGGCACGGTACTAGTTACTCCTTTGGATGCAAGACTGGAGTTTCTGTAGCTGGGATCTACAGAAGAATAATCTTTAAACGGAACAGGAAATAAATCAGCAGAAAATATTGAAGAACGATTCGAGATATCAGTAGTGGCCCATTTTCGCCTACCACCCCTGTTGTATGTACTAAGCTATGCGGCCAGGCTGATGGGGCCGCGCCATGGCCGATGTGGTACCAAATTACTGCTACTTCACCCAGTTCGCGGTTGTGTTTGGACAAAGAAACTGAATGAAATAAATAATCGTTCATCCGTAACACTCTTTTGTGCCCATCTATCATACCATGTGGAGGGAGCACGAGAGCTGAGATGCCGCCAGATTTCCTAAGCCTAGACAAGAACAGTCGGGATGCCGAGGCTGAGTTCGAACCACGAGACTTCTGGTCAGCAAGTTCGCGTCTTAACCACTGGGCCACCTCGACCTCTAAGATAGTGCTAGGGGACCCTAACCTAAACAGGACCGTTAGGGCCTTCCTTCCTCCCTTCAACCAAAGCCTTTAGCTAAAAAGCCTAATCGTAGTAGTGATGGCTGGCGTAACACTACCAGTGTAGTGCAACTTCTAAGGAACATGCCACCAGACATCCCAGTCTTCGACCTGAAGGATCAGGAGACTGTGGTAGTCTGAATTTTACCGATTGAGAAACCTGACATGAGGGATTCTGAGTGTCACACGGACAACCTCCAGTATAGCTCAAAGGATCACGGATGTGCACAGACCGTCACACCACGGTAAGGTCCCGTGTCATCGTAACAGTACATTATATATATATATATATATACATATATATATATATAACCAAACCTCTGGTCTATTACCAGGAGGCTGGGTTTGGTGGAGCATAATGTGAAATATTAATGGATACGCGTATCTATGCTATTAGAGAAACGATCACACCAAAAATCCTAGGCGCGCACACCAATGGACAGAAGTGCGAAATGGTTTATTTTGTACGTAATCATCTATATCCTCACACTTGTACACTGGGCAGCATTGTCTACGTCCGTGTGAATAAACCGACATCGCTAACCAATGTTCACGACTGCAGCCCAAATATCATCAGATATAAATAGGTGTTTCCAAACTCACCATGGCCCCCGAGTCCACATCGTCATCACCAAAAGCGAGGGCCAGATTGCTGACTGCCTTGGTGACATCCTCCACTGACATCTTTTCATTGTAAACGAACCAGTGATGTGCGGCTTCAGTGCGTGCACGCTCTATCAGCGTTCTAGCGTCTGCAACGAGCCCACTAACGGCACAGGCTGAAAAGAACAAGTGGCATTATGATTCATCCAAACAAAGGGTAGGTCAGTAATCTGACCTAGTTGACAGACAACAGTGGACGAATCCCTGGATGAACAGTGTAAGATGGGCAGAGCGCACTGATTTAATCCCAAAGAAATGACACCAGCGAGCTGATAGGCGTGGATTAGTACGGCGTCAGAAAGTAGGTTCAACGTTTCTAAAAGAAATTCAAAAGTTGATGGACTTCGGGACTGATAGTTATTCCAAATACGAGAAACTGACTGCTTGTTAGGATCACTGTTTTGCACATTTGTGCTTAATATGTATGATGCGGTAACTGATTCTTGGAGGGAATAGTATATCACTTGCGGTGCCAATGTCAGATAAGCAGGTCATCTTAGGAAGACTGCATTTCACTTCAATATTCGTGAAGACCATTATAACCATTTATAACCCATTTATAACCGATTTATCAACACCATACGAGGTCCATGATATCCTATCAAGAAAGACATGAGCACCTTAAATTTTGATTGGTCATTAATCCTCTGCGACGAAAGTTATAGATCCGTGTATTAGGGACAATAAACAGGGAAGAGAAACTCCTCAACCTTAATTTTTCTGTCAAAAACTACAAACCCTTTTGGCTAGAATCGACGCATAGCAATACGATATAATTGAGAAAAGCGCGTCGATTATAGATACCAAGATATCCTGTTCAAAGTAGCAAGGTCTGTTCTTCCCATTACCAGATGCTTCATCAGATGGTTGTCATCGCCGGCCAGTCAAGGCACCTGAGGTGCAGTCCATTATGTCGTCCATTTACTGTTGTTAGCATCCGATACTTCAGGTGATGCCACGGCTGTCAGATGATTGGACGGACTGAAAGTGCTGAGCAAAGAGGTCAGTTGGAGTTGACACAACAACACCACTTCCCCAACTTTCAAATGCTTCATATCGAATTCCATATGATCGTTGGTACGGCTAGTGAGGGTGGATGCCCAAATTTATACCGACAAACTGATGACCTGCTCTGCAGTCAGCTCTGTGCATCACTGGTGGTCAACACAGCTCGTGAGCCTCAGTGACGAGCAAAAACGAAATCGAGGCGAAAGTGGGTACCGCATGGGATCATTCATGCAATAGTTGTGGCGAGCGACGTACGAGAAAAGTAATCTTTGACATTAACAGTCCTTCTACAGTGGCATCTGGGAGCACCCGGTGGAGCGGAACGACACCTACCTGTCATGAATAATCAAGCGATGTAATGACCGGTACCTCGCCGTTTGAGTATACTGGTTGATGGGTAGATGCTGATTACGGTAAATGTCTGCGGGCCGAGCTCAGACATAAGAAAGTCACACGTGGATTGACTCAACGGCGTTCCGCGTGTGTTTTCTTTAGTCAGTTGGAGGCGGAAAATTTAACCTGGTAACTACATCCACCAAGTGATCGGTTTGCATAAATCAGCTTTTCGAGGAACTCCAATAGATGTACCACTTGCATGGTTTCCGAATAGGAAATAGCTAGGTTCTGGAGGCGCTTCCAACAGAGTGAAAAGTGTTCGACGCCCTGGCTAACATGATAGATAATGAATTATCTACATAAGCCACTAACGGGCGTCGCATGAAGTGCTCATGGCCTAAAACCACTCGTATGAAAATCAGACGAAATCCTACTCACAAAATAGAATTCGGCTGAAAGCATTGAGCAACTTGGGTAGCCGGCCTCTATCAAAAGGGTTACAGCTCCAATTTTTGTAACGGTTTCAAGTAGATCATTGACCCCACACGTCGGTCCGATGTCTACAGGTAGATCGCAGTGAGGACTGCTCCTTATGACATCGTGGATGTCCTCAAAAAACATTACGTCTAATCTCCACCACCCACGGATTAGGACAAACTGACCATGTTCTCCAAGGTTATCAACGTGGTAAGCACCGTTCTGCTAAGCTAAGGGTGCAAGATTTAAATGTCTGACCCCGCTGTGCATACTCAGGGAGGAAAATGTCGGACAAGCCTTGTGGTACCACACGGAAATTCCCTTCTATAACAACATCCGTTAAAGGACCGTTATCACCAAGAAACTAGACCTCGCAGTGAAGTGACGGTGCGTATCTCCTAAATTAAGCGAATTCAGTATCACAAGAAAGGAACTTAGTGTTCGCCAACCATAAGCATTTCAAGTGCCTATTCCACCAGACAATCTTTCAAGCAATTTGGATAAAAAATTACGACAAGAACGCCATTGGCACCGATTGGCAGGTATATACTGCAGCACCTCAAACCAGGCATAGTGGTGATCACGCAATCCCCATCCTGGAAGGCAAATCGCACCGAAAGCACTCAGACAGTTCGCGGTCCTTTTCATACCCATCTGACGAGTCAAAGGCTGACAAGCTTCCTGCTTGCGCTACTCTGAATTTGGCACGGAAAACTCTCTTAGGCAAACGACGCTTCAGCATGCGCAATTAATGGCCCAATCATAGCGGCTTCTGACGCTAGGCACAATTTTCGACCAAAGTCCTTGCTGCACAACCGGACTCTCGTTTGCCAATTGCCTTGTTATGCATTCCCTGAAACCAGCATACCCCGGCTATGGTTCTGAAACAATGAGTGCAGATCTAAAGATCTGTTCTATTGCTCGAACAGGCCAAGTATCATAGGCATACAACAAAACAGCCCACACCATAGCTTCATACACATGTTCTTAGGGATTTGGATGTGTGCCGCTTTGACATCATAAGTGTTTCAGATTTGCAAAAGCGACACGAGCCTTACAGACTCGTACACTGACCTCATCTGTCACATTAAAATCGAAAATAATGTCTCCCAAGACACGTAAAACGCCTCACAACTTCGAGTGCCCCTACCTGGATTGTAATTGGCGTGTTCAATAGCTGCATGTCCACGAGCATAACCTTACACTTTGTGGGTGCAAAGTGTGTACCAAAGGACGGCATGACTTTGGTCAGTTCATACTTCTCCTTCAGGTTTTTCCTCCTCTTCGAACATGAGAACGACGTCGTCTGCGTACTCCAGATCGACAAGGTTTTCTTCACAGGCTATTTGAACACCAGGGTTTTGGAGACCCTACAGCATTCGTCGATCACGAAGTTAAAAAGAAGTTGGGAGAGTGGGCGCCCCTGACGGACGTCGCTTTATGTGCGGAAGCTTTTGGAGAGCTCTCCATACACTCTCACACGTCCGGAAGCCTGAGAGCATATTATGTTCAGGAACCGGGTTGTGTTTGGGACCGGCTGGGACTTTCTCCGAGATTTGAGCAGTACCACTGTTCGGTCTGATATCCGGTGCTTGGCTGCGCCTGATTGGGTCGTGCCACAGGCGAAATTCCCAGCACTATGCAAAGGGGTGGCAATCTCGTCCCAGTATGAGTACACATCTGATGGTGAGGCATTTGGAAGAGACTCTAGAAGATGATTCTGGTGGGTTCGTCTGACATCCGGATCTGCCAGTCTTTCAGTTGCCGGGTGATTTGTCCGAACCTTACGCGGCCCCGGGAAACGTAGGGAGAAGCGACTCCGGACGAGCGCGTGGTCAGAGTCCACAAATGTGTTCCAAAACGACCGGTAGTCACTTACTGATCCATCATCATCATCATCATCGACAGCATGACATCAGTATTCAACATCGATGATTCACTGCCGTAGTTATTGATCCGCGCCATGCAATCGTTCCCCATTGCCCGTACGTACCGAGTCCAATCCATGTCGACCTCCTAATTGAGTCTCAGATGCACTAAGCCTGCCCCCCTGTGCGTTCGTATCTCCGGCAACCACCACGATGTCTGAGGTTTTAGCTCGCCGCAGCAGGGCATTTAGAGCGTCGTAAAACTTGTCTTCGACGGCATCAGAGCTACAGTCAGTTGGGGAGTAAGTAGACACGATAAACAGACATGTCGACTTCCCGCTTGTGAGACTCCTTTACAGACGTTGACAGAGCCATCATCATCATCATCACTGCCAGCTGTAATAACCGCGTACTTGTCGTACAATGTTTGTACCTGTCACAGTTTTGTTCACTGATGATTCGGAGAGGTATGGCAGGTAGCTGCGCATTGCGGACGGAAGCTGATAAATTGGTGCGTAAATAGAGCACTGCCAGTGGGTCTTTAACTGGGGGAATCGATAAGGGAGCTATGCATTCATGGAAATAGCTTGAACGCATGAGCGCCAGCGAGGGCGTCACCGGGCCATGTTTGACAATGTCCCTAACCATTGATATGGCCCGTCTCGGGGTCCCCATCCAGGAAGACGGCAATGACCAGACCAGCTGAGTTTGCTGGTAGTGGCTTTTATACTTCATTGCTGATTCACTGTTTGACCGCCTCTGGCTCTCTTCCACCTTCATGTGGTTGTGCGAAAAAGGCCCTTCGAGGAAGTCGGTCGACTGGTATGCTCAGCACGTGGCCAAGCCAAGGCAACCAATTCAGTATGATCAGTTCGTCTATCGAGGGTGTGTTGTTTCGCCCGAATACCGTTCGACAAACTTCAGCATTGCTGACCCGGTGTTCCCACCAGATTCGGGCAATGCTCCGAAAACATCGACGGTCACACTGAAAGTCTTTTGACGTCTTCGGCGCACGGCGGCCAGGTTTCTGATCCATTTAATAATATGTAGCGCACCGCAGCATTGTAAACTCGACTCTTGACGGATAAGCTGATGTCACGCCTACGCCACAGGTGACACAGGTTCACAGAAGCTGCTCTGGCCTTTCCAATCAGGATGAAAATATCATCTTTCGCGAGACCACCGGGGCTAATACAGCTGCCCAGGTAAACAAATTTGTCTACTACCTCAATCGATTCACCCGTAAGCATGAGGCTAAGGTTCGAGCCCACCCAGTCTTGTAGTAGGACCTTACACTTTGAGGTGTGAAGCGCACGCCGAACCGTGAGGCAGAATTACTTAGATTATTTAATATTGTTTGCATGACCACGGGGTTAGATCCCAGAAGAGCTATGTCGTCTGCGTACTCGATATCTGTGAGCAGACAGAGGCGCACAGAAGTGACTATCAACAGGTATCCAGTCAAGTTAGCACGACACCAACCCGTGCACATCCCGTCGCAGCAGCCTCTGGATCACCAGAGCTGCACAGCCGGAAGCGAGTGGAGACTGACGGAGCAGTTAGCTCAGTCACTTTGCTTGCATCTTGAATTCTCGTTTCTGAGACACAACACATATAGATACAAAGCGAATCCAGTGTGAGTGCAAGAACAACTTGTTGTCCTGCTTGCTTCAGAGTGCGAACATTGAACGCGGCCAGATAGAGTGGGTGTCGAGGCTTGAGGACTGATCTGGAGATTCCTGAGGATGTCGGCACCATGTGACGAGCAGACGCTGCACGCAAAACCGATGCATGACGAACGGAGTCATCAGTCCTAAGTGCTGGGCCTACAAGGAGAGAGTTATTAATGGGGTGGGGAAAGAGGGAAGAAAAAGTATGTGAAAGAGAAAGAAGGGAGGCGTCAGCAGTAGCCTGTTCTCGCTTACCCACCCTGCTGTATGCAGCAAGTAAGGCGACCCGGCACCACGCGACGGCCTATGTGGCATGAAAGTACGCTAGTCGTGAATATCATGGTTGTACGAGGGCTGCAATAATGCCAGCGCGCCCACACCTAGACAGGAGAACGATTAGGGTCCTCAACCAAAGCTTTTGGCTCAAAAGCCTAACCGCAAGACAGCCGTTTTGCGGGAGATGCAAATGCATTACCATTTCTACGGAACAAGTCGCCACATGTTCCAACCCCCAACCTGGAGGGCCAGGAGACTGTGTTCGTCAGACTTCTAACCATAGACCAACCTGGTATGAGAGACTGAATGTCACGGGGGCACTCCCCAGTATAGCTCAATGGATCGCTGGAGTGCCCAAACTGTCACACCACGGTAAGGTCCAGTCTCTTCGTGACGGCCCAACCACCTATGGCACCGGAATGACGTTTTTCAAGGGTAGATTATACACTACAATGGGGCGATCCACACTTTTGTAGGTCAGAAACATGGTCGTTAGGCGCAGCGTTTGATCATCGCTGTCTCTTAATCATCGGCCGGGTTTGATGGGAACATTGGACTAGTAGTGCTGAAGAACGCCGGATGGTATTAGGAGCTACTCACGCTCCATGTGTTACGCTGGTTAGCACATATATTTCGCATGCCGGAGGAAGGTGTCTCGCACCTCTTTTCATCTAGCAGAAGCGACCGAGAAGTGGACAGCCTATGATAAAAACAACCAATAAGCTCACTCATGTCGACAACTGCCGCCTCCCTGGATTGGGACTCTAGGACACAAATCATCAACGGTTAGTGATACTGACAGATATGGCTCGATTACGCGATCGGTGGTGTTCGTGTATCGAAGTCATTGTCTTCAATGCGTAGCTGTTCGGTTTTCGCTCCATTAGAGCAACATCCAATGAAAACTAATTGATCAGGCCACAACATCCAGTGTATGGCTATATCACACACTCTCCTATTTTCCAGTGAGTGAAGCAACATTTATGGCAGATAAACTGAAATAAAATGAACATTTCGGTCCTAGATATACTTTCCGTCTGCAACCTTTTGGATTCTTAGATAGAGGTGATACTCATTTTCGGGAAAAAATATAGCATTACTGTACAGTAGTCTTTCTTTATGAACTCAAGAGTTTAGGACATTTGTGCTCAAATGTCTAAATCTTGAGAAGAAAATTGAGGGTAACTACAGGATGTTTATTTGTGCTCGACAAGGGCGGTTTCAAACAGTCGACTGACGCACTCATCCAAAGCAGTCAGCCCATAAGCTGCCTGCTGCATCCGTGACACACCTTTCTTGTGATGACTTACATTGGAACTCGGAGGTGAAGAATTCGACTGTCTCAAGCCGTTTGCGCTTTACTTTACTGCGGTAACAGCTGCCCAAGGTCCTCAACGTTCCTATCCCAGAAGGCCTCAATAAGCCTCGATACACCTGGGCATCTTAGTGTAGGTCACTTATACATTCAGATGATGTCTGATCCCACAATATTACATCCTGTGGAACGCGATCAACCCGAACCATTAATTATTTGAGGGTGTCACCACCCGTTAAGGACACCAGTAAGAGGTCAAAAGGATGAAAAATCGTCAAAGAAACCCCACTCATCTTCGAAACTTACCAATATGATCGTCCACTTTGAATATCTTCTCAATACTCGAGGGGACGATTAGTGGGGAGTTGACTCGTTTCTCAACGGCTAAAACGATGCCCTCTGGAGTTTTTATGCCAATTCCAGTCGATCCCAGCTGAAAATATATAGTTTTATTGAAAAAAATAGTTTACTTTTGTGGCTTCAATGGCATATTCCACCTGGAACAGCCTACCTTCGGGGGAAAATGTGTTCACCCCACGATCATATTCTGTGCGCGTGAGAAACATTATTCAAGTTTGGCAACTGTGAAATTGGACAGATTCAGGTTAACCAATGGGATAGCAGTGAGCAACTTGACAAATTTATTCACCCGATTAGATCAAAACGAGTAAGCCTTGTTTCTGAGTGGTGGTACCCAGAACACTTAAGGCGAAGAATTGGTGTTGCCATTAGACTCCATCTTTCGCCATTTGTAGCACAGGAGGAATCCACCAAGGACATCCGACGTCTTGACGCTTTTGTTAACTGGAGTGATTAGTTCACTATTGAACGAGTATTTGCTATTAATGCCTAGTACTGCGTATAGCGCAAAATGGCGCCGGGCTTTCACTTCATTGATCACTAGAGATCAATACATCGGTTGTAACCACTGAACAGAATCACAAAAGCAACTTCTTTGGTCACATCAACTTGACTCTACATAATCCCCCGTAAACTTGGATTTCAGTTTTTGGGGAGTTGTGTAGCGTGGGACGTCAGGAAGTCAGTGATATTCGATGTTCGAGAGGATGTAGCGACGGCACACGTCAGTTCTGAAATGTGCAGAGATACGGACTGGTATTAATGAGTCCACACTGTGGACACAGCACACATGCGCGCAGGTCGGGTGGGACAGAAGAGAACACCGGAGTGTGGTAACGACACGCGTGCATTCAAACGAAACCGAAACCGGAAGTCGGGGGTGTACAAAGTTGCGTCAAGGTCAGTTAGGGGGCTGTATAAGTGGGATACTCCACCCTGTCCAGGTGGTGATTCGTCCGTGGTACCTGCAATAGGGGGGAGAGAGGGGCACGTATAAGGTCCTATGAGGGGCGTGAAAGCCGATACATTTGAGTTTCAAATGCGTTACCGTTGAATCATTCAAGCAAACCGCTATGTAAGTAATGGGGTATAATCGGAGCGCAGGGTTGGCGCCACCCTGCAGGGGATCCAATTATCCGCACAATGCTTTCATCTGCAAAACCGTTAAAAGTGGAGTAAAACTTTTTGAGCTGAAATGGTGCATTTTGCTGCGTATATTCTCAAACCAGAAACCATTCTCATCGCCGTTCAATTTTTTTGCAGGTCACCAAATCGAATTGTCCACTGGGACTACCATACCTCTCGCGGAGAAGCCTCCTGGAACGAAACCCCAGCATCGTTAAGAACCCGGGATGCCTAAATAGGGCTCAAAAGGTTAACTGGTACTCTTAACTAAATTTCCTGATTACTTTTGTCCATCAGGGACGCGCCACAGCCTTCAATTGCTTTTCATTGTGCGAATACTGAGTGCCCCTGCAGGTCCATATTTTCGCCACGCCCCAGCAGCGCGCGAAATTTTTTGCCCCCACGGAACTTGCAATGTCACAGTATGCTGCGCTACCTGAGGAGTTTTCACTTCTGAACCTACTGAGAAGAGAAACCCTCAGTGACCGATACCATCAGAACAGCGCAGGCAGCGTCACAACCCTATCTGCAGCTTGTATATTTCGCACACCTCGCTCCAGTGGCCAAATTGGTTGTGTGCCTCGGGTGCTTGTGATAGTGCGGCTGGTGATTAGGGAGAGGATAGAAGCGTGAGTTAGGAATAAAGAAGTATTCATGGACGCGGTGGTCATGAAAATGACAAATTGGTCATGAAACGACAAACTGGCCAAAAGACTGTGGGAACTCCTATCACATCTGATCAGTGTTGATCAGGGTTGCTTACCGGTTGGCGTGAGCTAGAAAGAGGTCCCTTCTGGTCCCATGATACTTCCGTATGGGGATTGTTAAGTTCCGAGGAACTCCCCGTACGAAAGTTGTGGCTGTCCCTTCACACACTTGCCGTTTGTTTGCTAGGTAGGCTTAAATGGAGTCTCTTCCATCCTCATGTGCGACGCCTGAATAAATTACTGCACTCTGGCAACAAGCAAGTAGGGGTGTTGTGGACGGGACATTGATTTCCGAGCACTGATCTCATGGCACACTAGGAGGAGCTAGGTGCAACTGACTGCCTTTGTGAGGGTGGCCAATTGGCCCTCAGTCTAAAGTAGACAGACGTAATAGTGTCCATGTCAAGTCCATGTGAAGGGAAGATGAGGTAACACCGAAGATATCCAGCGTGTTTGGTTGGTGACCAACATGGATGGACTTGTACTTGGTGCTATCTGACGGGGGCAGTTTAAGAGGCCCCGATTAAGATGGTCGTAATCCCTATGAGGATGCTCCTGGTCAGGGTATTCGTGGATGGATGGTCATATCTTACAGTGCAACCAGGGTGCGGCCAGGGTGCAACCAGTAAATCAAAGATTGTTCCTTTGAAAAATATGGGGCAAGTGTTTCCGGAGATGTAGTCACTCGGCTAGGCGACTGTCAACCGATCATTCCACAGATGCGGTAGCCTAATCAGGGAAGCCGGTTGGTCAACTCGATGAAATGCTCTCGGAAATCCAGGTAAGTTAAGGCCGTTGGCTTTGGCAGTCACCAGCCAGCCGTCCATGGATCTGTGTTGGAAAAAGATTCGCGGTATGTGAGTGTTTTGTGAAACCACGCTGTTTTATGGGTGTATACGCCTGTCTCCAGGCCGCAGTAATAGACTCCGTCCGTGATGCTATTCCTAACTTCAGAGGTTGGGATAGTTGGGCTATCGGACAGCGTTTTTACGGGTTTGGTCTGCTGCTACTTCTGTAGGCAGAAGGAAGCTGCTGCGTGGTGAGGGGTGCTGGCATGCTAATTGCTCCAATGTGGGGTCAGCGCCTCGGCAAGTGCAGTACCACACTCCATCAACAATGTGGAAGGAGTGCCCATCTGCTCTTATTAACACCTCCAAAATTTTGTCTGCTGTGAACCGTAATGATGACACATTGACGCCCTCATGGGAACGCCACCTAAAGAATACTTCTTGGTGCTGTCGCGCCACGCTCGGAGGCTCACAGGGAAACCTTATCGACGAAACCGCGCCAAACAGCTCAAGAATCCAGTCAGATATGTTTGCCCCAAATCCTTGAACGGCAGTAAATCCGGTTTTCCAAAAGCGGTATTGAGCGAGTTACACCTACCAGCGATCAAAATTTTTTATTCACGGGGGAAAATATGTCGCTCAAAGGTAAAAGGCCCTCGCAAACCTGTCTCCAGCAGGCCAAAAAACCTTGCAATGAACAGTAAACTGTGGAACCATCAGTACGGGAGGCGGACAAGCATATCGCATAGGCACCTTCGGAGCTTTGGACTCAAACCCGGCGTACAGCCACTATATCTGCCAAGATCTCTGGTTGTACACATCTTGGCTCCTCACCTTCGGAGGCGGCAGAGACAGCGTGAAAGTGCCTGTCTTTCAACCGTCTCAGCCTTTTCAACGAAATTTGCCATGCTAAACAGTCAGTCTGCTTTAAGAAGCCGTCCAAACCCGCGCCCACAGGGACTCAGCCCACACCAGACATCTCTGACCCGGAGATCTCGACAGACAGCTGCTCCGTTTTTTTCACTGAATCAAAGCATGGGGACTGGTGTCATTGCACTCCACTTAAATGCGGCCCTGTCCATCCCGGTTATCCTCTCCGGAACCACTCGACGTACTGTGGATTCAAAGCTCGCTGCGCCTGTCTGACTCTCCCCTTGTCGGTGTGGTCCACTGTCTCCCCTCGAGTGTTTCGGAAGACGCCAATTCCTCATACAAACTCTTGAGCGACTCGTTTAACTACCACTTCATTTACTCTTGCTCCAAAGGCCTCCCGGAGGACAGTGACCACTATGTGGTGACGTTTGATTTCACCTGCTAGTTGACCAGAAATCCCGAACCTCAAAAGAGGATTCGAAACTTCTTCCGTGCAGAATTCTCAGGTATGCACATCGTTCTTGATCAAATTAAACTGGGACCATTGACCAAAAAGTTCACGAGGCTTACGCGACGTTCGTCCCAAAAAAATTAGCACACAGTCGGATGAGCTGCAAGCTGCCTAAAAGGATTTGGCGTCCTCCGGAGAAGAGGTTTCAAATATTCCTAAAGAATACTTCTTGGTGCTGTCGCGCCACGCTCGGAGGCTCACAGGGAAACCTTATCGACGAAACCGCGCCAAACAGCTCAATAATCCAGTCAGATATGTGTTTGCCCCAAATCCTTGAACGGCAGTAAATCCGGTTTTCCAAAAGCGGTATTGAGCGAGTTACACCTACCAGCGATCAAAATTTTTTATTCACGGGGGAAAATATGTCGCTCAAAGGTAAAAGGCCCTCGCAAACCTGTCTCCAGCAGGCCAAAAAACCTTGCAATGAACAGTAAACTGTGGAACCATCAGTACGGGAGGCGGACAAGCATATCGCATAGGCACCTTCGGAGCTTTGGACTCAAACCCGGCGTACAGCCACTATATCTGCCAAGATCTCTGGTTGTACACATCTTGGCTCCTCACCTTCGGAGGCGGCAGAGACAGCGTGAAAGTGCCTGTCTTTCAACCGTCTCAGCCTTTTCAACGAAATTTGCCATGCTAAACAGTCAGTCTGCTTTAAGAAGCCGTCCAAACCCGCGCCCACAGGGACTCAGCCCACACCAGACATCTCTGACCCGGAGATCTCGACAGACAGCTGCTCCGTTTTTTTCACTGAATCAAAGCATGGGGACTGGTGTCATTGCACTCCACTTAAATGCGGCCCTGTCCATCCCGGTTATCCTCTCCGGAACCACTCGACGTACTGTGGATTCAAAGCTCGCTGCGCCTGTCTGACTCTCCCCTTGTCGGTGTGGTCCACTGTCTCCCCTCGAGTGTTTCGGAAGACGCCAATTCCTCATACAAACTCTTGAGCGACTCGTTTAACTACCACTTCATTTACTCTTGCTCCAAAGGCCTCCCGGAGGACAGTGACCACTATGTGGTGACGTTTGATTTCACCTGCTAGTTGACCAGAAATCCCGAACCT